ATGTCTATGGAATGTTATTTCTTTGATCAGTTATTTATTTAAAATATGTAAGGATATAAACGGACAGATCTCAGAGGGGTGGGGGGCAGGAAGAGATTGACCTAAGAACTCACATGCACATATGCATAGCCCATGGGCACAGACAGTACTGCGGTGAAGGCCTGGGGGGGCGGGAGCTGGGTGGAGGGTCAATGGGGGGGGAAAGGAGAGACATCTGTAATACTTTCAACAATAAAGATACACACACACACAACTCTTCTTAAGAATTTATATAATTTCTTTTTAATAATGATCTAAAATGCTCAACAGGAGAAAAAATCCGAAAGGAAGGAAGGAAGGAAGGAAGGAAGGAAGGAAGGAAGGAAGGAAGGAAGGAAGGAAGGAAGGAAGGAAGGAAAAGAAGAAGGAAGGAAGGAAGGAAGGAAGGAAGGAAGGAAGGAAGGAAGAAGGAAGGGAGGGAGGGAGGGAGGGAGGGAGGGAGGGAGGGAGGAGGGAGGGAGGGAGGGAGGGAGGAAGGAGGGAAGGAAGGAAGGAAGGAAAGGAAGAAGGAAGGGAGGGAGGGAGGGAGGGGGGGAGGGAGGAAGGGAGGAAGGGAGGAAGGGAGGAAGGGAGGAAGGAAGGAAGGAAGGAAGGAAGGAAGGAAGGAAGGAAGGAAGGAAGGAAGGAAGGAAAAAGAAAAGACACTAAATTCTTCTCTCTCTTTTTTTTCTAATTTAAATAAGAGTAATTTAAAGAAAAAGCATTTCCCGGGTGTGGGCCTGGACGAAGTGGCAGGTGGCGCGGTGGCGATTTCGGTCTGGGGTCCGGCTCTGCTCCACGGGTCCGCTCTTTGCGGCTCCAGCAGCCAGTGCTCAGAGGGACCGCGCTCTGGCGCCTCCGCCTCCCCTCAACCCCACGGCGCTGTCCCCGGGGACCCTGTTTTCTCCATCAATCACCGGTAAGAATACAGTCTGAACGTCAGCTCACTAGCCTGAGGTAACAAAGATGTTTCACACCCGCTAATTAGGGGCTGGCAGGTAACCCATCTAACCCCTGAGATAGAAAACACATGGTTAATAAACCGTTTGGTCGCACATCCTGCCCCTGGGACACAGCTCACACGCCAGCTGTCCGTCCGCTGGTCTCCAGCCTTCCGGGGTCCTGGTCGGGACTTTGGGGAGGCCGGGGGACAGAGGAACGGTGACAAGAGGAGGAGGTTCTGGGGGAACCAGAACCAGAGAGACCAGGGCTGAATACAGCATCTGGGACAGAAGTGCCTCGGCTTCACCCACGTGTCTCAAACGAACACCCAAAGGGTAAAGTGTCGTTAAACAAAGAAACACGGAGTATATGTTATACGTAGTATCTGTCCCGAGATGTAAATAAGCTTGTGCAGAAACCCACCTTTCACACTTTCTTAGTCATAGTTACTGGGTCTAAACTAACACAATCCTTTATTATTAAGGATTTTTTTTTTTTAAGTATAAGAAACAAAAGAAGAGTTAAATAGTAGGAAAATAAGGGTGGGAATGGAAGTTAAAGATGTGACAAAAGAAAACTCTCTATATGTATGTATATGTATGTGTGTGTATGTATGTACGTATATGTGTATATATGTGTGTGTAGATAAATATATATATGCATAGTGATGTATATGTATTTATATTTATGTTTATATATTTTTTATCTGAGATAGAAAAGTTATACTAATGTTTCTTCCCGTGGGCAATGATATTATTATACTTTATTTTCGACGGCCTTGCCTGTACTTGGAAATGGTAATGGTTGCCTGATGAAATGTAAGTGTAACTTAAAGATGAAAAATAACTATATTGAGAAAAACGCATCGTGCACATTTAGAGAAGTTTTAAAAATTGATTTCACAAAAACAACAGAATCTAACTTCACTCATGTGCCACGGCAGGGAGCCTTGAGGGGTCGGTGAGCACCTTTTTTAGTAAAAATGAGTAAATGCATAAATCAGGCTGATGCTGGGAGATGGTAAGTTACATACAAGATTTAAAAATCCAACCTACTGCCTGCTTGTTTATTAAGTTTAACTCTGTGACATGGATGGGTTTATAGGTCAACAATAAATATCAACAATTTTACATGGTTTAGTACAATAGCATCATATGAATTAAAAACAAAAACAAAACTCAATAGGACATTTTAAATATCTGCCTTTACTTCCCAAATTATCTGTGAAAGCATTTTCAAAGTTAAGTTCTGCCTCCCCCTACCACTGACATGGAGTGACATCGCAGAAATCAGTTCTTCCTCACGAGGCATGGAAAGTGAATGTTATTTCAAACAAGAACCAGTGATGTCTGGGTGTGCCGGGACGACACGGGAAGTGGGGCTGGGACTCTTAGCTGGAGTCAGGAAAAGGGGCGGGGTCAGGAAAAGGGACCCAGGAAGGCCAGCGCTCACGGGGCCAGGCAAGATTCTAACATCTCGACACACATTTACTCATTTAAATCTCCCGAGATGCATTGTCTTTGCTGCATTTCTGTAGAGGAGGTAACCAAGGCACAGGCTAAATAAGCAGCTCGGCTAAGGTCATGCTCTGTGGATGTTAAGGTGAGATTCAAACCAGACACTGTTTTTCTCCCCAAGCAGCACCCTGACCTTGCAGCTACCTTCGCCTGAGTCTGAGTTGCATTTCTTTATGGGCGTGTATTCTCACCTGCTGAGCATATTTGCATGGGCTCCGGTATTTTTTGTTTGTCTCTTTCCAAATGTGAGGTTCCTAACTGTATCAACCCTGTCTGTTTCTTTCGTTGAGGCATCATGGGATACTAAATAAACAGTTGTTGAAATAAATTATTGTGTGAATGAATGAATGAATGAATGAATGAATGAATGGTATACCCTGCCCTGGACTAAGGAAACGGGAAGATTCAAAGCATCAAGATATCAAATATAAGGATAAGTTTCTAATCAAAGATGAGACCCAACGTAAGTGATTAGGGCCAAGTCTGAGGATATTTCCACAGGCAGCTTTAGGGGTGAGGCGGGAGAGGGCACATTTTCTGCCCTGCCTGAACAGAAGTGCAGGGCGACAAGCTTGTCGGGTCAGGAATGCAGCCCATGCTTGCCTGTGTGCCTGGTCCCTCCAGCACCCACTCCAGCCATGCACACCCTTTAACCAGTATTCAGATCAAAATATTTCCCCGTGAAATCCAAACAGCCCAAACAAGGATTAAGCCCATGCCGTGGTTCTAATTAGCACCGCACGGTAGCCACAGTTCCCACTGTGGGGAGACTGCATAATTGAATGTGAAATGTTTCCACGGATTGAAAAGGGAACTGTTGAAACACATTCTCACTTTTATGGATAATGATTCTGACCGCTCACTAAAGTTGCAGAAAAAGAACACAAAGTCAGTGTTAGACAGAATAGGGCGAAGAACATTTTCTTTTTCCATTGTTCTGCGTGAAATGGAATGCAAGGGGACAGTTGTTACAGTAGCAGTTAATACAAAATGTGACAAGGTATCTGAGGTATTTTTGTTGATAGCCGTTGCGGGCACAGACTCGCTGTACACTCAGCTAGAGGCACCCGTGTGGAGGACGGGGGCCAGAATGTGGGTGACTGCGGTCATTCTCACTCAGTCCTTTGTCCCTAGGAGAAGGCACGCTTACGCTGGAGGGTTCCTCATCCCTCTCTGGGTTCAGAGTGAGGAAGCCTCCACGTGTGTGTCCACCCAACCACATACAGAGGTCAGGGTCTGATAAGTGTGGAGATGACATTTGTCACAATCCCGGAGTGGCAGCAGCCATGGGAATGGGCACAGGCGGTCTGGAGCTCACTCCTCCGGACACATCCAGCCCTCACCCTTGAGGAGACATCTTCCGAGCCCGTTAGAGACCAGGCACACGTCCCCTGTGCTCCGAAGGTGCAGGAGGACTTAGGCAGGGTCCCTGCCCTCAGCACCGTACAGTAACATAGGAGGGAACAGACTAGGTAAGAAGCACAGTCAAACCTGGTAGGTGCTGCAACAAGAAGGAACATGGGATTGGATTGCATGGGGACACAGAGGGGAGGGCAAGGTCACCTGGGATGGACAGCCTCAGGGACAGAGCTGCAGCCTGGACCACCTGTATATAATTTATCTATCTATCTATCTATCTATCTATCATCTATCTATCTATCTATCTATCTATCTATCTATCTATCTATCTATCTATCTATAGATATATATAGCTTTGAAGACACAGCAGGAATTCCACAGTCCCCACCCTGCCCAATCACCCTCTGTCTGTCTGAGTGGTCATTGCTGGTGACAGAGTGGCCTAGGCGGGAGCTGGCTGAGTTGGCCAGGGCACGGAGAAGCGGAGCGCAAGGTCAGCCCTTGTGTGTCGCCAGCCCTGCTGCGGAGGGCGAGGGGCTCAGGAGAGCGAACCATCTGGGCAGGGGAGCTGAGGCATGACTGGGCGTGTGAGCAGCTGCTGCGCAATCACGGGGGGGCCCAGTGTTTCGGGGGGGGTGGGGGTGGTAAAACACACCTTGACCACTGCCCGCCCGTGTGGCTCAGTGGTTGAGCGTCGACCCGGTTTAGTTTGCGACCCCCTGTGCCCCCTCTGATACCACCCCTGGTAGCTCCCCGCTCTGCCTCCTGGGGGCGCTCCCAGGCATTCAGAGAGCAGGTCCAGGAGGAGCGCGGGCGGTTGGACAGGCAACCCTGAGGGTTGGGCGGGGAGTGGAGAGAGCGGGAGGTAGAGAGAATCAAACGGTCCACAGGTGTCAGCCTGCCGGCGGGACCAAGGAGCCATTCTTCCAGAAGGAACGTGGTGACCGCACGGACGAGGGGCTCCTGTGGCGGGGGACGTGGTGACCGCACGCACGAGGGGCTCCTGTGGCGGAGGACGTGGTGACCGCACGGACAGGGGGCTCCTGTGGCGGAGGACGTGGTGACCGCACGCACGAGGGGCTCCTGTGGCGGGGGACGTGGTGACCGCACGGACGAGGGGCTCCTCTGGCGGAGGACGTGGTGACCGCACGCACGAGGGGCTCCTTAGACGGAGGACGTGGTGACCGCACGGACGAGGGGCTCCTGTGGCGGGGGACGTGGTGACCGCACGGACAAGGGGCTCCTGTGGCGGAGGACGTGGTGACCGCAAGGACGAGGGGCTCCTGTGGCGGAGGACGTGGTTACCGCACGCACGAGGGGCTCCTTAGACGGAGGACGTGGTGACCGCACGGACGAGGGGCTCCTGTGGCGGGGGACGTGGGTGACCGCACGGACAAGGGGCTCCTGTGGCGGAGGACGTGGTGACCGCACGGACGAGGGGCTCCTGTGGCGGAGGACGTGGTGACCGCAAGGACGAGGGGCTCCTGTGGCGGAGGACGTGGTGACCGCACGCACGAGGGGCTCCTGTGGCGGGGGACGTGGTGACCGCACGCACAGGGGGCTCCTGTGGCAGAGGACGTGGTGACCGCACGGACGAGGGCTCCTGTGGCGGGGGACGTGGTGACCGCACGCACGAGGGGCTCCTGTGGCGGAGGACGTGGTGACCGCACGGACAGGGGGCTCCTGTGGCGGAGGACGTGGTGACCGCACGCACGAGGGGCTCCTGTGGCGGAGGACGTGGTGACCGCACGGACAGGGGGCTCCTGTGGCGGGGGACGGGGTGACCACACGGACGAGGGGCTCCTGTGGCGGGGGACGTGGTGACCGCACGGACAAGGGGCTCCTGTGGCGGAGGACGTGGTGACCGAACTCACAGGGGCTCCTGTGGCGGGGGACGTGGTGACGCGGAACGCACAGTGGGCTCCTTGGCAGAGGACGGTGACCGCAACGGCGAGGGCACCTGCGGGGGACGTTGTGACCCGCACGCAGAGGGCTCCTGTGGGGAGGGACGTGGTGAACGCACGACAGGGGCTCCTGTGTCGGAGGAGTGGTGGACCGCACGCAAGAGGGGCTCCTGTGGAGGGGGAACGTGGTGACGCAGCACAGGGGGTCCTGTGGCGAGGACGTGGTGACCGCCGGACGGTGCTCCTGTGGCGGGGGGACGTTGTGACCGCACCACGAAGAGGGCTCCTGTGGCGGGGACGTGGTGACCGCATGACAAGAGGGGCATCCTGTGGGCGGAAGGACGTGGTTGACCCGCACGGACAGGGGGCTCCTGTGGCGGGAGGGACGTGGTGACCCGAACGCACGAGGGGCTCCTGTGGCGGAGGACGTGGTGACCGCACGGACAGGGGGGCTCCTGTGGCGGGGGACGTGGTGACCGCACGGACAGGGGGCTCCTGTGGCGGAGGACGTGGTGACCGCACGGACGAGGGCTCCTGTGGCGGGGGGACGTGGTGACCGCACGCACGAGGGGCTCCTGTGGCGGAGGACGTGGTGACCGCACGGACAGGGGGCTCCTGTGGCGGAGGACGTGGTGACCGCACGGACGAGGGCTCCTGTGGCGGGGGACGTGGTGACCGCACGCACGAGGGGCTCCTGTGGCGGAGGACGTGGTGACCGCACGGACAGGGGGCTCCTGTGGCGGAGGACGTGGTGACCGCACGGACAGGGGGCTCCTGTGGCGGAGGACGTGGTGACCACACGGACGAAGGGCTCCTGTGGCGGGGGACGGGGTGACCGCACGGACGAGGGGCTCCTGTGGCGGAGGACCAGCCGCAGTTACCCCCGAGCACTTACGGTCCCCGCAGCTGGCACCCTCATGGCCGGTCCCCATCTCTTCCCTCTGACCCGCCTCTGGGCCCGGAGCTCGGGTCACTGGAGTGGTCTTCAGAGCTGAGTGAGCAGGGGCTCGGATCACCAGAGGCGCCCCCGCTCCGGCTTCCACCGAGGAATTAAAACTTTAATCTGATTTGACACAGTTATTTGGGGAATCCGTGGACTTGTCATGAGACGGATGATTAAAGCGGAACTAAGGGATTTGAGCCTGTCTCTGTGAAGAAGATAAAAAAAAAAAAAAAAAAAAAAAAAAAAAACCGTTGGAGAAATTCACTTTGTTTCTCCTTTGACACATCCCTCACGAGAAAATTGTACTACGGACCCTTCCAATGCCCGCGGCCCCAGCAGCCAGGCTGGGCATGGAGAGAGAGAGAGACAGAGACAGAGAGAGACAGAGGGGGGGGAGAGAGAGAGGAGAAAAAGAGAAAGAAAAAGGAGACAAGAAAAGATTCTTTCTCATCAATGCATTGTGTTAGTAAGTTGTTAGTAAGTATACAATGCGTTGTTGTCTTCGTCACCAGCCAAACTGGCGAAAAGAGTTACGGAAAACAGTGCAACGGAACAATTTTATTTGCTTTAACCAAGGAGTCCTTATACATAAAAACTAAATTAGGGTGGGAGGGCAATGGACCACTCTAGGGCTGAACCACAAGGAGGGCGTCTACTGTGACTCGTTTGGAAGGGAAGGATCTGACTCTGCTCACGGAGGTTCGTTGCAGTAACGGCCCACGCGGCCACTGAAAGGTCAGTGCGGCGCCGTGGGGCCAGGGTTTGGAGAACGCTGCTCTGAGCGGGGAGGTTGTTGGGGACTCCCCACAACCAGACCAGCATCTCCCCCAGCGGGACCTGTGTCTGTCACGGGTGTTTCCAGGTGATTTTCTTTTGTGACGGACGCGTTCTTGCAGATTTCCTGCTTTCTCCTTAGGGACGGCAGGAAGCCGGTCAGGTAAGGACACGTTCCTTAGGCAAATAATAACAGATTCACCATCTTTGGTGTCTGAATGCTTTTCGGTCCCATGTCCAAGGAAACACCAATGTTCAAGAATGAGAGAATCACATTCCTTCCTCCCACCGAGACTAGGGCACCACGATGTTAGAGTCTCATGGGAGAGGTCGGCTCCTAGGGGAGAGGCAGGGGGAGGTTCCATGAACCTCTTGCTGCTGGACTGGGGTGGGGGTGGGGGTGGCATTTCCTGACGTCCTGACGTCACAGGACTGTTTTCACAGGCGCCCTCCCACTCTGAGAACTTGACTGTGCCCTGCTGAAGACACCCACAGACCAACAGAGAGGCATTGTTCCAGCCCGAGTACAGACTCCCAAACCTTGTGTTTGACCTTGGGCGAATCGTATAAAGTCTAGAAACTCCATTTCACCCTCTATAAAGTAGGAATGATTCTCTGTCTGCGCCTCCCATCTTCGCAAGGTGGCTTCCAGGGCAAACTGTTGCGATGATCGATTTAACGGCACTTAGAAGTAAAAATCAATGCAGTTGAGGCATTAGCATCATAACTGTCATCATTCTGATCGCAGTATCAACACCCATGCATGTCCTCAATGGACAGTGTATCATGCCCCCCCCCCCCCACACACCCCTGTCCCATTATGCAACAGATGCCCTCCCGCCGGTGCTCTGTTCCCTCTACCTGAAATGTTCTGCCCTTCAGCATCACTGCAAGCTTCCTCTCCTCCTCCCAGACTGTTCGAATGGCATCTTCTCAACAAGGCTGCTCGGAGTCTATTCAGATTACACCCCCCACCCCACCCCCAGCTTTGCAGATCGTCCGCGGCTGCTGTGCACTTTTCTATACAACGTATCTCTTCCAATGTACTATAAAGCCTGTTGTAATTAAATACAATTATGATTGAAGTAATATATTAAATTGCCATGATACATGTCCTTTATTGTGTTTATGACTGATTGCCTGTCTCTGTTTCACGAGGGCAGAGATGTCTGTGTATTTGGCTTATTAAAACATCCCAAGCTTATTGAGGACAGTGCCTGGCACAAAGCAGACATTTTAGGAATATTTGTTAAATGAGCTAATTAATTAAAAATAAACCAGTGGGCAGCAATCGCATGCCATGGGCATGGACCCCGCATTCCTTAGCCTGGGATCCAAGGCCAAACACAGCTCATCTGAGTTACCTTCACGTATCTCCTTCCTCCCCATTCGCCTTTGTATCCCTCGTTCATAAACACATCTCGGTTCAGGCGGATTTTTCTCAGTGGCCCCAAATGCCCTACTGAGTTGTATACACTGTCCTCATCCTGTGTTCTGTTAAGAATGCTCACTCTCCAAATCCTCATTTAAAACCCTATCGCTCTTGCACATGCAAATGCTTTTTCCTCCATAAATCCCTTCCTGATTTCTGCACAGAGGCATAACCTTCCCTTCTCCTAATTCAGCATGAAACCTACGCCTCTAGCGGGCCCACCGCTGCGCTCTCTGGGGTTCTGTATTCCTCTGCTAGGGCTGCCATAGCCAAGGACGCCAGGCCTGGTGGCTTAAGGAACAGAGATTTATTTTCTCACCGTTCTGAAGGCCAGAAGTCTGAGATCCAGGTATCGGTAGAACTGGTTTCTATGGAGGCCTGTCTCTTTGGCTTACAGATGGCCATTTCTCCTTGCGTCTTCACATGGCCTTTCCTCTGTGTGTGTCCGTGTCCTGATCTCTTCGTGAGGACACTGGTCATGTTGAATTAGGGCTCACGCTGAAAAAACTCATTTTAACTTAACTACCTCTGTAGAGACTGTCGCCAGACAGTCGTATTCTGAAATCCTGGAGGTTAGGACTTCAACATACAAATTTAGGGGGATACAATTCAGCCTATAGCAGGTACATACCCTCAAACTCCCTCAAGGGGCCGCGTGACCTGCTCCAGGAGTGTGAGCTCCTTCAGGACAGACACTCCGTCTTATCCGTTCTTGAACTTTCCAAACAACATAGCACAATTTGAGACCTACTTGGCTCTCAAAAAATTGTTGACTGAACCACATTCCTGAGCACAATTTGACTGAGGTCAGAGTCTCTGATGAAGGTTGTCATTACTCCCTCGTTCCCTGCTCTTTGGACCACCTGTCAATCAACAGGAGCTCCTTGAACTTGTCTCCACTCCATTCCCTAGTTCTTATGCTTTCTCCCAAGTTTTCTCTCCTAAGGAAAGGTTTGTTTCTTCGCTTGCTTTTTGCAAGTGAGAGTAAGCTAAGCCTTTGAGCTGCTTGGCAATAGCTGAGCATTCTTAGCTTTCAAGGAGAACCAGTCCTTGGTCAACAGGTTCACATCGTAGTAAACAGGGTACAGTCAAAGCTCAGGGAAGCTTTCTGCCTGAACAATGTCATAACTAATGCTTCTTTACCTGTCTACTCTGTTTTAATGCTTGTTGACTTGGAAGCACATGGTACCCTTGGCCACCTGTCCTTCAAATGTAGAATTTCTAAAGCTCTTTTCAAACCACTGAAATTGTGTATTTCAGGTCAAAATGTAAAATGCCATTATCTAAGACAGGATTTCAACTTTAGAATCCATCGGTTGAGAAGACCGTGGAAACCTAACTTAGGAGATTGACGGGAATGATGCCATGAGCCTGGAAAATTAAGAGAAATCTTAATTTTCCAGAAGGTGGTTGATCTTCACAGTAGAGGTGAAAGATTTTCTATGTAGGAATTCAGTCCTCAATTAAATTTTTCAGCTAGGACTTGTAAACAAAACTGTGGCCCCTGATTTCCTGTTACTGAGCAGAACAATGTATCAGTAAAACCAAGAGACACTGAATTGGCTTATGGGTAAAAAAGAAAAAAAATGCAGATCACTTGGAAGTTTATGCTCAAGGAAGAATGTCATCAGGCAGCTCTCTCTCTGAGATACAAGAATACCCCAAACTCTGAAATTAAATGAAATAGTTACTGCAGGAACTTTTCAGAATAGGAAGGCAGTATTTTTATCAGGAAAAAGAAGACCAAAATTAGGCCACAGAATTGAGGTTCCACCCCCGAGTCTACTGGGCATTTGCTGAGTGAATTGGGGTAACTCACATGTCATCTTTGGGCTGCCGTATCTTCATCTGTAAGAAGAAAAGGTAGATAAAATGATAACCACTTGGAGGCAAGGCCGAAATGTGAACTTTGGGGAACTAAGACTTTCCCATGACTTTGGATTATATTTAAAATTTTTTCTTCAAATTAAGAAATCCCCATTGACTGTTTCAGGGGTACAGGGATTGGCCAGAGACCAAAAGCCAGGAACACACGGCACTATATAAGGACCAGAACAAGATGTCTCAAGGTTACATCAGTCTATTAGGAGCCATGATTGTGAACAGGGCTCTCTCATCCTCTCGGGATCTCCCACCTGCTGGAGCAGACACACGGCCCATTCATCAAGAGGTCCCGTAGTGACAACAGTAAACAACCACAGGACACTTTGATGGTGAAAGCATGTCAGTAAAACAGACGTATCCCCTTGGGTCACACTATGTCACTCCCCAACTATCTTCTAAGGCATAATGTATAAAACACAATAACCAGGAAGGTGCTGAGGGCATAGGTCAAGTTCACAAAGTCAAAAAGGAAGTAAAGAGGGATGTTTACTACTTTCCCACAAATTCCTAGGTAAATGGGGCATTTGTCCTACGTTTTTTATGCAATCTTGTTCTAAGGTACCCAATTTTCTACAAATTTCTTCCAAAGAAAGAAATCTTCTGAGGACCTCCCATGGCAAATACCAGGAGTTGCTGATACAGCATTACCTAATAGCCCCTAGAGAAACCGGACAGTTGTCATTCCTGATGGGTTGAGCATCTGCTGGCTGTAGACATCACCCAAGCAACCTGTCCATCAGGAAAAAACCAAAAGCCAGGCAGATCATAATAAGGTCTGTTGGTTTGTAAAATCGTATATGAATGGCACATTCTTTTTTTTTTTTCATTCCACTTGGAAAATCTCATCAAGATCTAGACATGCACAGCTAATTGGGTTATTAAGGGTTTCCCCGCCAAAGCGCTCAAACACATGGAAACGCAGAGAATCTCAGTAATTGAGAGATCTACTCATTGAATCCCACTGGCTGGTAAACTCCAACAGAATTCTGCCCAGGGTTATGGAAATAATAGTAACCAGGCACAGTAGCAGGCAATCAATAATCTGCTTTAGGTCTTTATATACTAGCCTTTTTTCTTTTACCATTTTATATGAATACAATGATTTAGTATTTATAATTCTGTACATGTGTTTTGCATATGACTTCTTTCATTTAGCATAATAAAGATTTATTCATATTGTAACATGTATCAGTATCGCATTGTATGGGATACGTGACATTTTGCCTATGAATCCATTGATGGACATTTGAGTTGTCTTTATTTTTTGACTATTATGAATAATGCTTTTTTGAACATTCATATATAAGTCTATGTGTGGATCTATGTTTCTATTTCTCCTGAGTAAATACTTACAAGCAGAATTATTGAGTCATATGTAAATTTATCTATTAGTAAATATCAAACTATTTTTCCAAATGGCTGCACCATTTTACATTCCCACCAACAAGGTAGAAGACTTCCCATTTCTCTACATTCTTGCCAATACTTGGTATTAATGGCCTTTATTATACTAGCAAGAATTTTGAAACTCAGCTGTCTTGGGTCCGCTGACATCTGGCTGTTCTTTTTGTAAACAACTACAGAAAAAAATCTTATTGATAGGTTACCATAAATGTGTGAAGACCAAAAAATGTCTTGAGATTCAGTAATCATTTCCTGTATGATATCAAAAGTCCCCAAATGGCAACCTGTCATTTGCTTCACTATTTGAAAATAAGCTCTTGTTTTTCTCTCTCCCTCTTAAATATTTAATCACCTCCAGTGTAGCCTCATATGAAAAAGTCTCAATTGCAGACAAGAAAAAATAACCCAGAAGTGGTGAAGGAAAAAAAAAAAAAGACAAACCAGAGTTTTTCAGCAGAAACACACACACACACAAAAGCATGTAGCCTGATGTTTCTAAAAAGGAGATGGAAAGAGTTCAAGACCGTAGCAGCAGAGTCTAGGCTGCTGCGCTTGGCTCCTCATTCCACCAGTTACCGGTGGCTCCGCTGAAATAAAAAGGTTAGTCATTGACTCAGTGGAAAATTTTGTTGAAGGGAAAAAAAATATACACTCATGGAATGTCTTGTCCAGACCGCAAATTATTTTACAGGTGACAATTAATTAGGACCCACGACACACACACAAGGGAGGCAGTTTCATCCCACAGCGTAGCAAAGCCTGGCTGAGCCAAGTTCCCTCTTGGGATGGGCCATTTGGGGAAGAACACTGGGACGTGGGAATTGCACAAGGACTTTTATAAGAGATACAGGCCACTTACGCACTGTGTTGGGGAAGACCTCCCCTTTGTTGAAGGCAGTTGCAGAAGAGGCAGACTCAATGGAATGGACTTGCCACAGGTGATCAAAAGCTCGCCCTCTTTGGGGACATGGGTTAGGACGTTGACTGGTAGTCATGTCACTCATGGTACCCAGCTTCCACCAACACAGAGTGGCCATAGTGGTCAGCTCTTCAGTTTACAGGGCATCCGGCACACACTTGCAGAACATCTACTGTACGTCAGTCACCACATTTCTTGAAACTGTCAACTCAAGTATTTTTAAACGGCAGCGTCGCAGCACCGGAGTTGCCGGCAGTGAGTGTTGACAGAGTTGGGTGTGGGAAGTGGAAGAACCGCAAGATAAAACAAGAAATTAAATCATGGAACCTTGGTCAATTAAAAGAAGCAGCTAAACAGAGAAATCCTAACTCGCATGCCCTCGGATTATGACATAACTCGCCAATCCGTTCAATACTTTGTTGATGTTGGGGTGTCCTTGTCCCCCCCAAACCCAGAACTTTTCCAGGTTCGGTCCATGCCCAAGCCATCGGGCCAAGTGCTATTTTCAGCTCCAGCAGCTCCCTTGTTTGCGAGTTCAGGCCAGACAGGAAACCACCCAGTCTGGGAAGATTCGGTTAGATCCCAAAAGAGCACATACTCTCAGGTGCAAGACCTTCAGGGCAGTAAGGGGTGTTCCAGTTAATCACTGTACACAGCAAGAAGTGAACAAAGAGCCACTGTTTCTCCACGGATGACCACTGTGTGTGTATATTATCCACACACACATATATACACAGCATGTATATATCATAGATGTATATGTGTGTATGTATATGTATGTAAACCTATGGCAGGTGGATCAAAAGGTGTCTTACAAATTCTGCTACTCACCATGTAGATCCCCCACAGGCTTCCACAGCGAACATGGGGAGAGCTCAGAAATCATTTTATTTTAGGAAGATATTTTATTTTGATTGAAAGTGCTGCTGGTTGGAAATTTTTCGAGTGTGAAGGGAGTGATATACAGCAGATTTTGTAGACGGGAAAAAACATCTGTCACAGACATAGTTTTGGTTTATAATTCGGGGAATTTCTTGAGGGTGTTCTTGACTTATTCATCATCTCCTGTCATGAGGAATAGAACTTATCTGAGGCTTTGGTCATTAGGTCTGCCTGGCCTTCCTGGTCCTGTAGGAGCCCGAGCTGGCGTCCGAGATGAGAGAGGAGAGGAAGAGAGCAGTAGGACTCATCAAATCACCCAAAAGTATATTCAATATCTGGGACATACTTTTACAAAAATATTACTCATTGTTTATCTGAAATGCAAATTTAA